GCAAGGAGTGAGGCCCTTAGTCGTTTAGTTTCCTAGTTGCACTCAGTCGCTAACAAGCTCTCTAGCCGTTTTACCTCAAATCCTTCAGTCGCTCAGGAGCTCAATAACTCAGTACATTTCTAGTCGTCACCACGGAACGTTCGATATCTTTTACGTTGTTACCTTAGTGTATTTATTACAAAATAATTATAACTATACTATAAAGTAATTCACCAGTATTGCTCATATTATCGCTCGTCTGTCATATTTTTTTAAAAAGTCATTCGTATCGAAATTTATAATATTATCATAACCGTTTATTAAGGCAAATTTAAGTTAATTAGGAATACTTATAATTGATAATTGTTTACACAACATTCATTCGACGAAACTCGGGTGCGGGAGTTAGATTTCTGGCGCGTAGCCAACAATTGCTAACTGTTCCAACAAATTGCTCGAATGCTGTTCCTAAAACAAAACGATAGATCGCTTAGTCCAATTTATTTAGGTCTCAAAGTAAAATCAAAAGGTACTAGATCTTATATCGATGTTTATTTAACAAGAGTATTAGATTGTAAAGAGGATACACTTAAAGGAGTGGATTGAGATATAAGTATAATGACTGATAGATTTGTATGGAAGAGAAGCAAATACTGTGCCGACCCTCCCTAGGGATAAGAGCCAGATGATAAGGACCTAGCAGGTATATTGAAATTTGGTTTAAAAAATTGTAGGATCCGAAATAGAAAGATAAGAAAAGGAAAGTAAACGAATACATTATTATGTTAAATTATTATGTATGTATTTTCGGTATCGATATATTACAGTTGCTATTTAGTACCTGACATAACAGCATTTATAAATTTCTTTGAAATACTATAATTTTAAATTACTCTAATCAAAATCTCGACACTACAGCTCAAAATAATTAAAATAAATTTTAACCTATAAACCTTGATTAAATTTTAGTTCAAGTTTGCTTTTTATTGTTTACTAAAATTACAAAATTTCTTTAAAGTATTTCATGGACATTTTTGAGGTTCCTCTATGAGAAAGGAATTTAATAGTTAACATTTTTAGTAGTTTAAATACCTTAAAGCAGAATATTATTTAAGACTTTAAAACTAAATTACCAATTACATTTTTAATAACAAAACATAAGATTTTTATTGCGTCAAAGGCATATAAGAAAGAAAATGAAATAGCAGTATGTCACGTTTTTTCTATATACTTGCTACTTTCTACTTTAGACCAACATTTTCTTCTATAACGAAGCCTGCACAATAATGACATTCCCTTCTAATTCTGTTTTTTGTATAGGAATTATCAATCGGCATATCTATATTTAATTTTGCTACTTTCTATTAACTATGTTATCTGATACCTTAGTCATATTATCAGTATTAAGGACCTGTCCCATCAAATTGTAAATTGTCTTATAACAATCCAACGTGTAAAATATGTGATGAAATATCGGAATTAGTTGCCTAACCTGAAAATACGTCAATTTTAAGCTATCTGAGCCTCTATCAGCCAGTAGCGGGACAGGCCCTAAATTAAATAAATACTCATACTTACCTATTTACCTAAAAGCAAACCTCTCTTACCGTAAAAACCGTCCTCTAACTTAAACCTTTTCATATCATCGTCACGTAAGTTCTACCTTTTGAACCCATATCGTTTTATTTGTCATCTATTGATAAATGACAACAATTGTAGACGAACGAGCCAAAATATGCTGACTAGAAGGGGTCAAAGATATTTTACATCATCCTAATCGATTCTTCTATTATCAACAACAACTATATCGAAAACAGCTGTCTAACTATAACAGTCCACAACTGCACAAAAACTATCTAAATATCTACACCTGTATACGTCTTTCCCTACTAAGTAAAACTAAAATAAACTACAACTTAACCCAATCACTTTTCAGTTTTATTAAAGGGATTTCTATTTTTGTATTGGTTTCCTGAGAGTAAACGTAAGACTCTCCTACCCAACATATTCGCATGGCTTGATACAGAGAACTTCAAAGACTATTTACAGAACAAATTATCAAATACTTTCGACTTAGGGGAGGACGTAATTATGTCGTATTAGGTTACAGGGTGCCCTCGGGAGAGATAAATCCGGAGCAATTTATTCGAATTCTGCACACGTGTGAGTCGCGTTCGGTCAACGCGCCGCTCCCTACTCTGGACACCTACCTACCTTTATTTAGATATATATGAAAACATTTTCAGGCACACTATATTTCTTAGGACAATTGAATTATATTATTTTAAAATAGATTTTCTTTATTTTTTCGGTTCAACTACTTCATAAAAAGCACATAGTATAGAAAAAGGACAAAATTTGTCAATACAACGCGAATTTAAATGCCATTGTCATACATCATTCATTTCAAAGTAAAGACACAGAATGATAAATAGATTTAGCTTCTCGCCGGCGAGACATTGTTAATCATATTTATTGAATCCAGGTGTTCCTCTTACGCGCTAACAACAAAATTATTCAGTTCACTCGCCGCGGCTACGATATTTCATATTCATGGGACAAAGGCCTCGGCGCGACTACACTTGTTACGGTGACAACTCTATACAAGACAAATGACTATCAATTGTTATGCGGTTTTATTTTACGAATTTAATTCCTGTAGCATTTTAATTAATTCAAGACTATAAATCCAGTGGAAGTTTTTTTCTCGTCTTTAAAGACACCAACATAGTACTGATGACTTGAGCTAGTAATTAAATTCATTAAATATTAAACGAAATTAATTATTCATGTCTTTAGTAAGGGTGATAATCATTAAAAAGGCGTGTAAAGAAAAAATAAAAAGCTAACAGACTAGCTAGAGAAAAAATAAAAAACACCCTTTAGTATAAAGGTTATTATTATAATAGTGGATTATACGCTTGCAAGCGTGCTTGTGAAGCGTGACAACTGTACGACTAAACACTTCTATTAGTTGAATTATTCATGTTTAGAAAATATAAAAGCTCAAAGTCATAAAACTAATAACTCTGTGGATTAAGGGCCTGATTCAAAAGGCAGTTATTATAGAAACCGCACGCATTGTCAGGAGGCTCCTGTCTCTGCCCTGACCACTGCATAAGTCATCGGATTCCGCAGCCGGCGGTGCACTAGTTTTTACTAGTTACGTTTTATATTTATTTTTATTTTTATAAAGGGCATGTAAAATATATTATGTTATTAACTAATAAGTGAATAAAGATATATTAGTGAAACTCTATGTTTTATTTATTGTTTTTTCCATATTTTTTACACTGACCAAAAAATAATAAACTCTATAACGTCTGATCTTGTCGAGTTTCATTTACGATTAAAGATATATTAAACAGTCATTTTTACGCCACAGCATAATGTTATATTGATGAAATTAGACATAAATAAGGAAAATACTTTGTACAGCACGTAATCTAATACGAACATAGACGTAGGAAATTCAAATAAATTATTCACCAAACGTATCCACTATAGAAGACCGTTCCGGGATTCTCTATAACGTTATCTCTAACAACTCGTTTTCATGCGAGAGATTTTGATGTATCGCCTACTGAATAACGTATAGATTTATACAATAATAAAATACC